CTTTTTTTTTTTTTTTTTTTTTTTTTTTTTTTAAACCGAAACAGACAGATTACATTTCCAGTTACAGCCATGACATGACTTCCTGGATGAGTTAGTTTGGTGTGGGTTTTTTGTTGGGGTGGCTTTTGGTTTTGTTTTTTAAAAGTTACACTTCTCCATGCCTTATTGTGGTATGTTTGAGTTGGATGTGAGAGAGATGTAAATTGCAGAATACAAACAATGAGTCTGGAAGAGTAATTGCTCTCCTACAAAGAGATAAAGGTTCTCGGGGATTAATTACAATTAAGTTATATGAGGCCAAGGACTTGTTCTGGAGCACTGTGATTGCCTTTCTTTTTCCAGGAAGCACTAATGTGGGTGACCAGCTTCCTACTGGACAGCTATCAGTGGTGCCTTGGAGACGTACTGGTGTAAAATATACCAACAATGAGGCGTATTTTGATGTGATTGAGGAGATAGATGCAATCATTGACAAATCAGGTATGGAAGTTGCTTCTGGCTAAGATGAGGGTAACTTGTCCTGATATTGCCTGAAGAGAGATTTAGGTTTTCAAAGAGAAGCTCCCTCATCTAAGTGTGGGAAGCTCTATTCCTATTCTTACTCTGGAATGTTGCCAACTTGTAGGTGCTATTCAGTCAAAAATTTTAGAGCGGTACCAAGGTTTTCACTTGTCCTTGTTCCTGAGGTCTTGTAAGCAATTCTGTATTGGAGAAAACAGAAGGCAAGTGAAAATTGTGCACAGCACTATCTCCTTAGTTTTTGTGCATCTTAGTCTTGTTAGAGTTTGGAGCTATTGTCATTGGCCATTAAAATGGACGTTGCTGGTGTCAGTGGTTCTTATTTGTATGCATCTTCTCTAGAAGTTGTTGGGAATGAGAAAAATGTTGAGCAGGCAACATAATGAGCCATGACATTTCATAAAGATAATAAATTTCCTTCTTCCCCATTGATAGTTTTTCCACATATGGGATTTTTTTTGATCAGGTTCGCATAACCTCCCATGTTTACTTTATTGTTGCAGGTTCCACGATTACTGCTGAAATCCAAGGGGTGATTGATGCTTGTGTCAAGCTGACTGGGATGCCAGACCTTACCCTCTCCTTTATGGTAAAGCTCAAGGATGTATCTTAAGTATTTTTAAAAGGGTTTCCCAGCCCTGCTACTAGGATCTCAGTCTCATGCTGCTGGATTCCAGTAGATCAGAACCTGGGTATGCCAAACAAAAAGAGAAAGAACTGACAATGGAAACTCATGATGAACTTCAGCAACTTTGAGCCTAAAGGCTTTATTTTCAGATTCTTTGTTAAAAGTACTGTTAGTGTGGGCCGTGACTAAGTTTCTGAGATACAGTGGTGCTTTAGGCTGATATCCTAAAGGGCCATCTTTTTTTATGAGTGTGCATCAATGTAATTATTTGACATGAATGAATTTTCTAAAATAGGATAGAGGTTATTGCGTACTGCTACCACACAGATGTAACAGCATCAAATAGCTTAACATGTCTGAATGTAGATACCTTCAAGTGGGCAGAGTGAGTCAAATGATAGGGCCTTCATGGATAGACGACTGAGAAGAAGAGGAGGTTATTTTAAGTAGTACTGCCTTCACTAACCTTGTGACTTTCTTTTATTTCAGAACCCTCGGTTATTGGATGATGTCAGCTTTCATCCATGTGTGCGTTTTAAGCGCTGGGAGTCAGAGAGAATACTCTCCTTCATTCCACCTGATGGAAATTTTCGGTTGCTCTCCTACCATGTCAGTGCTCAGAAGTAGGTGATGAATGTAGTGCTGTGAATTAAAAAATTTGGATCTTCCTAGCTAGGAGGAAAAAAAAAAAAAGAATTTGCTTTTTAAAGATCAGGTGGCATGTTGTGCCAAATGAAGTAATGGTGCGTGGTACCTTGCACTTTTCCTTTTTTTAAAAAAACACGTTTTCTCCTTGTTTGGAGCAGTGATTCTGTCATTTCTTTTTGGTCAGCCAGCGTTTTTCATAGACTAGTAGCAGATGAACAAACTAGAGAGGGAAAGAATTAGGCAGTATGGAGTAATCAAGCTGTTGATTTCCTACGTTTATGAAAAACTTCTAGAATAAAACAAGATAGTTTGGTAATCTAGTTGTTTTTTTGACATCTCTCTTAATAGAACTACAAGTTCTTGTCCATTGTTTGCATTCTTTTCTAGAAGCAGCTTACCAAGTACTAATTGGGGTTACAGATGCTAAAGCGTTTTGTTAGACTTTGTCAGACTTATCTCAACTAGGTGAAAAGGAGTAGGAAATTCATCCGAAAGCACAAACATGGAAGTTCAAAGTGCTGCTGCACTGCTTGGAACTACTTGCCAGCTTGATTGTGACATGCAAAAATATTCCTCATCCTTTGCTCAAGTCTTCTGTTAATATTGGATGTAGTTACCTGTCCTGTAGAGAGGTAGAAAACTAAGATATGGCAAGCTTGATTTTAAAAAAGTGCAATTAAGACTTGAGAACAGGATTCTGACTTTGCTCTTAGATCAAACAAATGAGCGTAGGATTTCATTCTCTTTTAAGGAGATTGGTTTCCAATGTTTTCAGTGTAGAAGGCAAGGACTACATCAGAAAAAGCAAAGATGAAGGTGAGAGATTGACAAGGACTTTCTGTTCATGTCTTTATTCCAGTCTTGTGGCAATTCCTGTCTACGTTAAACACAACATTAGTTTCCGTGATAGCAGCTCACTGGGACGTTTTGAGATCACAGTGGGGCCGAAGCAGACTATGGGGAAGACTGTAGAGGGAGTGATGGTCACTAGCCAGATGCCAAAAGGTGTCTTAAATATGACCCTCACACCCTCTCAGGGAACACATATCTTCGATCCAGTTACAAAGGTGAGAGGAAAGAGAGAAATTAGATACTACTTTTTTTTTTAATCTTTTTTACCTTTCAGCAAATGAAGTTGAGCTGTTCATGCTTACATGAACGTTTCCTTGAACATTGCTTTTCTGAAGGCAGTATCTTTTCTTGGGGTGAGAACTTTTTCTGGACAATTGCATACTAGAAGTTGTCTTAATCCCCACAACAAATAGCTCAGTGTCTGAGTGGATTGTAGTTCTGGTTGCTTGGTGTGTGCAGAAAATCCAAGAACTGGTATTGTATGATGAGGCATTAGTCTGGTGGATGCTTTACAAGCTTTTGCATATCTAGTTGTCATGCTTAGTACTGCATGTTAGGCTTGGTCCTTTGCAAACACTGCAGTTAGTGGGTTTTGATTTGTTTTGGGGTGTTCTGGTTTTGTTGTTTGGTTGTCCTCCCCGGGAGTTCACTTTTTTTTTTTCTTATTGCAAAATTAAATTTGATGGTTTACCTACAGTAGAGCCTCAAGCAACACTGCTTCAGCCACGTGGAAAGGAGGCAATTCTGCATTATTTTTGTCACTGTTACACATAGGAAATGGGGCCTGTAGCACAAGTAGTGGAAACATCATTCATGGTAGGCTTTTGGGGAACCTCATGGAAAGAGAGAGGGAGAACAAAGGTCCGAGGCAGCTGCTCCTCAAACCTGTACTATGTCTGTCCAATATGAAAGGCAAGATACTAAGACAAAGACCTTTTCCATAAAGAAACATTAAAAGCTGTCATTGGAAGGGGACTTTTCTTTAGAGGGTGTTACAGCATTTCTGTTTCACTGCTGCATTTTCTGTTCCTTGAAGTTGCTGTCATGGGATGTGGGAAAAATAAACCCCCAGAAGCTGCCGAGCCTGAAGGGGAGCATGAGCCTGCAAGCTGGGACATCAAAACCAGATGAAAACCCCACCATTAACCTGCAGTTTAAAATTCAGCAGCTGGCTATATCTGGTAAGTGACTGTCAGGTAAAGAAGCTGAATATTCTCTGCTGTGTCAGTGCTCACTCTGCACGTAGCTTAAGTAGCTCTGCAGGCCTTCTGAAGTACATTCTATCTGAAACATGTTCTTCAAGTAAAAAAAAAAAAAGTGTGCTTTGACTACACATACATGGATTTGTTCTCTCTGATGCTCTGTGAAACAGCCTATCTACATTTCCTTGCGTTTCGTGCTTACAGACCTATAAAGAATTTGAGGGTATGGATGTGTTTGTAAAGAATGATTCTGACAATTAGCAGTTGTCAGCTTTTCACCGTTCTGTTTACTGCTTGCTAAAACTTTCCCTATGCTTTCTGCACATCTAGTATGATCTTCTGTTCCTTTATCCTGAAGGCCTGTCTGCTTTGTTTCTGGCAGCAGTCAGTCTTATGCTGTGTTTGTTTGTCTTTAGGACTGAAGGTGAATCGCTTGGACATGTATGGGGAGAAGTACAAGCCCTTCAAGGGGATAAAATACATGACTAAGGCGGGCAAGTTCCAAGTCCGAACCTAGAGGATCCTGATAGTGAGGAAGAGCACTTTCCTGTTTCTCCTGTCCCTGGCTGTTGGATGCAGCCTCTTACCCCATCTATCTGTTTAGGGTTGCTCCCTTGCCTGTAGTAGCATGAGCAGGAGAGCCAGTGCTTAGGGTGCTGGGGAGCAGGGAAAAGTAAGGTTGACCTGAAACCATCTCATCCCTAGCTGAGTCTGAAGTATTTGGAACAACGGCAGATGGGAGAGGTGTTCAGGTCCCTTGGAATTAGCAAGTCAGCTATATAAGCTTGTATCACCTTCATTTTGCTGTCTTAAAGGAAATTCTAGAGATTTATTGCCTTTTATAATCCCTCGTCCTTATATTTTGGTTTGCTTTTATCCCTTTGTAGATGATACAAAGTTGAATTTCTACAAACTTCAACTGCAGTGTGATGGTCTGGCATCTGCCCTTCTCCATCACTGGGCGTTAGGGTGGAGAGCTGTATAGTTCTTGGCAGCAGAGAGATCATCTAGCCATTCTGCCTCAAAGGGACTGGAAGAAGTGGAAAGGTAGATTGTCCCACCCAGGATGGGAAGTTAAGAAGCCTGAGATTGGGGATGGTGCCACAGAGGGAGGAAGGGAAGAACTGGATGCTTTTTCTAGCTATTTCATAAGCCATCTTGGTCATCAAGTATCTTGAATCTCTGAAGATAGACTGGAAACCAATCTAAATCTTAGTATGGTATCCTATGAAGGGCTGACTATAGCACATGTGATCTTGTAACTGATGGGTGGTGACATCTGAATGTAATTCTGCTTCTCTTCTTATTTCGTCAGTATTTGAAGGTAGGGATTCTCCTAGCTTCTTTGGAGAGTCAGGGAAGAGAGAGAGGCAGGAGAATTTTTCTGGAGACATAGCACTCTGATGGAAACTGAAGCTGTGGCTAAATGAAGACGATCGCTATCCTAGTAACTTGTTGGAACCTCTTTTTGACTCTGCCTACCTATTACAAATGAAGGTGATACTGCTGTTCTCCTGCTCACTGATGTCTGTGTTTGAGATAATTGTGTCCTGGTACCTTTGTAGTGTTTCTGGCTGTCCTACCTCATTCCAGTTCCTGTACCAATCAGCTGCTGTGCAGGTGGATTCAAGCCTACGCTGGATTTTTTCACTGGGACCATCTCTTCTGCAGGAGCTGTTGCTGCATCTGCCCATTCCAGTCCATGCTGCATCTTTCTGTACAGCATAAATATGAAATGAGAGGCATCTGCACTGTTCCATATTCTGTAATGTGCTCTTTGGCGACTAGATGCCCATGTGTTTTCTCTGTGGCAACAGAACTTGTCCCTAAGCTGCTGTACATGTGACTACAGCATCTGTCAGGTGACTGTGGAGTCCAGCATGTACAGCTCATGCTTGTGAACAGAACAAGGTGACCATAAACAAAGGATAACATACATTCTGGTTTGCATGTGATGGATACTTGCAGTGGATGAGTGGCATCTTGCTTCTGGAATTGCAAGTTCCAGTGCAACTGATGAATGCCATAGCAGGTGGCCTTACTGCTGAGCACATTCAGTGCAAATATAACCTTCAGCAAGGGCATCAATAAAAATATTTTTTTCATGTCATCTGTGTCATTTCAGAGTGGTTTGTGTGGGCTTTACAAGAAGTTGGTATTTGAGGAGGAAGGTAAATTATGCCAATTGGATTGTGGATAGCGGGTGCCTTAGGGAGATAAATGTGTTTATGCAATTGGGATTGTAAGCTTGGGACTAAGTCACTGTCTGAAAAGCTAAAATTAATTACTTTCTTGGTAATTTTTCTTAGCGTTTCCCAAAAGGAATGCTGAGCTCTTCCTAGAACCACAGTGAAACTTTCTTTAGGAATGCAGCTGAACCATTTTTGTTTACTAGGTAGGGTTTTGGGTAGCAGGCTAAGGGCTGTGCTTTAATTATGAAGACAATTAAATACCTCTTCACCTTCCTGCTCCTCAAGTACTGATATTGTCCTTTAGCTTTGTAGCTTTGTTTTTTAAAGTATCTTTTCTTTCCTGCTGAAGTGATTCGTGTTACTCGAGATCTTGAAAGGCTTCTTGTATGCATAAGGGTGTCTGGCCCTTACGACAAGCTTTCTGTATCAGTCTGAGATGACTGCAAGTTCCTATGGAATGAAAGATGAAGCAGGGCAGAAGGGGGAAGCAGGAAGCAACATCAGTGAGATAACTTGGTAGATGATGATACAAGGAGTTTTGGGGGGAAATGTGAGGTGTAGCTGTGTACTTCAGTTACAATAAATGCTGATGTCGACTTAGGTTCTGAAAGAACTTGAATATGACAATATCAACTGCAAAGTGAGAAGAAAGATGAGGCAAGGAGATGGCAGTCATTATTATCTTAGACCTTGTCTCAAGATGGTGCTACTGTGTGCTAGAAGAGGACAAGTAGGGGAAAAAAAACAAGAAGAGCAAAAGCTGATGTTGTAGAGATGGAAACTATCTCAGGGATTTTTATCAGGGAGGGATGTAATGGGTAAACAAGCCAGAGAAATGCAGTTAAATGCACTGAGCCATGTGGCAGTAACTTGAGAAATGAAATGCAAGACGTTAAAGTAAGGCTGGAGAACGTAAGTTCTAGTTTTTGGACTGGGATTTGGTATATCTCCCAGATTAAGGATCTATTACAAAATGAGGGATAAAGAAGCATTTGGAAAAAATTTGAGTTGATTCTGGGCCCTTCTTTAAGTCAGCCGCAGAGAAGACTTCACAGAAGGCAGACCAGGATAGAAGGAAGCAACCAGTGCAGAGATGGCAGCTAAGGCTTGTGTAGCCCTCGTGTCACCTTGAATATTTCATGTAAGGGTATCTTTAAGGAGCTGGTAACAGCTGTGGCGTAAAACTGTTCTCTGTAACTTATATTTTTGTAGGATGTATTTTTCTAAAAGATCAGTATCAGGTGTGGTTCAGTTACATTGTATTGGTGGCTGTTAGATGACATCAAGCTCAAACACTGTGTTTAACAGACTGTTTGAATTGTGGAACAAAAGTTGTGTTCCTGAAGACACTTACCTGTGTTACTCATTGGAACAGTTTTGGGTGTTTTACAGGCTGCAGATATTTGGCAGGCTTGTGAATACCAGGATAGCAAGGCGCAGCAGCACTTGGAAATGGGTTTAGGGGAGAGGAATGGAAGTTAATTTGTCTTTTTCTCAAGGTTAATACTTAATAAAATACAACTAACAACAACAAAAAAAATCACACCAAAAAAACTGAACTGTGACTTTTTTAATGAACAACTTGGGGTTTTTTTCCCCTTCCACTGGCTGGAATATGGGACTCATTGCTGAAGCTAACTGGACTTACACCACTGTTTCTCTGAGGACATTAGAGAAGATCTCTGAGGTCAGTTTCTAAGCTGGTAGCTAGAAAGATATGGACCATTTGTAAAATTGCCATTTACAAAACCTATTTGAGGAAGTAACGGGCGTCCTTACCAAATCTCTCTTCTGTACTTACTTATTATATAAGCTTCTTTATTTGACTAGAGGCTGTGCTAGTAGATCATCAGAGAGCTCCTTAAAACTGTGAGAGTAAACATTTTGAGTTATAATGTTTTGAATTTCCCAAATACAAGACTAGTTTTCTAGCTACAATGCCTGATTGATACTAAAGCTAAACTCCTTTTGTAACCTCAATAGAATTTTTTCCTTTTGTAAACAGTAGTCACACCTGCTTTCTCTTACTCTCTTGTCCAATTGTTTTAAAAAGTATCTCTCAAAGAGGCTTAACTCTCAGGACATGCATAGATACCACTAGGCATCACATGGCAACTGCAATGCAAGTAATGCTTGATTACTGACATTCTAGTCCATGGTGACTTGGTTATACCTGTCCTGTCTTCTGTTAAAGGACAAATGCAGCCTTGTGACATTTGACTTGATCTTTACTTGTGGATGTAAATCTAGCAGACACCTAAAACTGCTACCATTAGACTTGTCCTTTGTTCTGCCCTGCTGTGCTAAAGAGAGAGCTTTTGCTTTCGTATCAGATGATAATGCACAGAAATTTAATAGTCAAAAAGTAATGTGTTGATTCTGTGGCAGATAAGGCTGGTGTTAAGATTTTTACCTATTCCATATTTATTTAAATATTTAGTTCCTACCAGGAGGAAAAGCAAGTGCAAGAATAGAATGTCCTAACAAGCATGCCATCCTGGATTTGCTCAGAGACTTTAAGCTCAGACTCTGTTAATGAATCAGATCCAAACTGAAAAACCAAGTAGTATATCGATAAGGAAATAAGCAGCCCATGCCTACAGCTTTGCTCTTTCTATTGGAGTCAAGCTGAAACCAGCTTAAATAACCAAAGTAAAATGGTATAAGGACAGAGCTTAAGCCTGACTGGAATGTCTTCCAAATTTACAGCCAAGTAAGAAGGAGGGAGATGAAGTTTTCAGGAAATTAAATCTGTCCCCTTTGCCCTCAGTTCACACCCATTCCCAAAACAACATAGCTGCTCATGGGATGCATGATGTTCTCTCTTGGTTTATTCTCTCGGGCCAAAATCTATTTTTAATTGTACTCATGTGACTTGATGCAAGGAGAAAGCTTGGGGATGTGGGGGGAAAGGAGTGTTAGCTTCCAATAACCTGTAATAAGGAAAGGAGAATAATTTGAGAATGCGCCCTTCCCACACATTGCAGTTTGTCTTCCTCTTGTACTGAAAGTCATAAGCATCTGGACAAACAGGAAGCCCTGTCAGCATCCTTAAAGCACCCAGAAGGAAGCTGCAAGGGCATTGCCACAAGATTGTGGATAGTACATTTTTCTTTCTCAGGGTTTCATGTTGTCTTGAATCCAGTCAAGATAACGATTCACATTTGTATAAACGCCAGGTATGTCTTTGCGGCCACAGCCTATTCCCCAGCTGATGATTCCAATTAGATACATACGATCATCCTTCATACAGACCAGAGGCCCTCCAGAGTCGCCCTACAGAGAAGTAGCAGGTTAGTAACAATCTCCTTTTTTGTTTGTTTGGTTTTGTGCTGTTCCCCCCCCCCCACTGGCTTTAGTGGTGCATTGGTGTCTACAGAAATGCCCTATGTAGTATGCTCACAAATCGAGAGCTCTTAGTAACAGCACTTTCACGTAAGCCGCTTTTGTGTTCCAGACTCCCACAATGCTCCTTTCATGGGGAGAGACCCAAAAAAATCTAACTAACACTAAAGCATCTAACTTTCTGTATGGTGCTCATTTATGAAATGTAGGTGAGATGTTGATAAGGACAAAAAGAGGAATGCTCTTATTCAAGCTATAAAGATCCAGGGTGTTTTATACTGCTGTGTGTAACAGTAAAGCAAAATTATTAGAGAGCTGTTTAAATTGAAAGGATATGGATTGAATGCATGCCCTCCTTTTTCCTCATGTTACAGCTGCTCGTTCTCCACCATCTTTTGGCCTTTATTCTTTTTTCCACTTTACAGTAGAGCGGCACCCCCTTCCTCTTACAGAACCTCCTGCTGAGTGTTTTGCATGCTCACATAAGAGAAAATATTAGGAAATGCTGCTGAGGTGGAGTTTCCTGCTCAGTTTTGTGGTATTTCCTATATTTGGGATTTTCTATCTGTATTGTTCTGGTTTGCTTGGTTAAGTGTGGCCTGCTTTCCCAGCTATGAGGGGCAGGGGAAGAAAAAAGAAAGGATGCAGCAGTTCTGTTCTGTTCAACAAAAGTCTACTAGAACTTCCATGTAGCCAAATGCAGAACTTCTTTAAATTATTTTCTGAAGCTTTTTGTTTGGTTAGCTCAGACTATCAAGGACAGACCTAAAAAGAAAAGAGGAACAGTTTACCTTGCAGGCATCATCAAGGTGCCTTGTGTCTCCTGCACATAACATATTGTCTGTAACTTCCCGGTTGTCTAGATGCTGTGTTGTGCACCGACTGGCTGGAAACAGTCTGACATGGCCTTCCTTCAGGTGCTCCGAATAGAATGGAGAAACTGGAAGAAAAATGACAATAAAAATACGTATATACGTCTGTTATTTAAATTATTTAAAAAAAAAAAATTGCAGTTCAGTTTCTGTAGTTTAGGGGAGAGTAAACAGAAGTAGCTGGGGGTGGGGGAATGGCTGAACTAGTATTTCCTTGCCAAAGGGTCTTTTTTAATTCTTGGGGGTTCTGCTTTGCTAGTGAGAACAGCTTAAATCTAGTTGAGAGAGACTATTGCTTCTTTAGCAAGCTTAAATGCTAAAGAGGTTTTTGTAGGCTCCAAATTAAAGACTGCTGGGTTTCTTGGATGAGTAAGTCGTCTTTGCACAGTTACATCAATCAAAATGAAGTCACAGGAAGTGCCTATGAAAATCACTAACTGTATGAAACAGGATCCTGACTTTTTAGTATTAGACTTGTGCTAACAAAAATCAGATGTCTTGTCATACACAATACTGAGTAACTGGATAGGAATGTACACTTGTGTTATGTTGGAATGGAAGGGAATTATTGTTTGTTTGTTTTGGGTGTTGGTTTTATTCTCCTGCATAGCTGCAATTGCACAAAGCTGAAAGTTGGCAGGTTTGTTGTTTTTCAGTCTAGTTTTGATTTACAGTTGCAGCATCCTTTCCCTCTCAAAGAA